CAAGTAACTGAAACACGTTTACATTTTGCATAAAGAGTATTTGTATAGACCCCAGCATCTTAAGGTGGATTTGCATATTGCACCCTTTCATCTTGTCAATGGACTTTGAGCACCAAGGGTTTACTGTTTTAACTGGATGTCCAAATGAATCCAAACAAGTTGGTAAGAGCTCATACTAAGGTATAGTTGGGCAAACTACATGTCCCACAGGAAATATTTGCTCCGAAAACTTTTCAACAATCCGTCAAAAGCTATTTTCATGCAAAATACGGACGAACTTATTAACATGCTGTAGTAACTGCTGATGTTTTGGAACTTTATCTCAGCCCCCATGAAACAATATAAATGGACAGTTAGACTGATGTATTTTTTTAGTTTTGAGTCTTAAATTCAAAAAGGCTGCATGATAATGTTTAGCACTTTTCATTCTCTTGTAACCATTTCAATTTGTATTTTTGTTTGCTGTTTGATTGTTCACAAAGCCCACTGGGTTCCACAAAGTAGGTCAACACAAAGTCTTCATGTGTTTTACTTTTTATGCAGACAAATGGACGGATGGTTGTATAGCTAATCAGACTTTCGTGGAGCAGGGTGAAATGTGTAGCCAATGGACGGGGGTACCTCCAAAAAGTGCTAATGTCTCATCCAGTAAAAGTTTTATCCTTCTCTATTTTTTGAATTTTTATGGAAGATCGCAGGGGAGGAAGATAGTGTCAGGTTTTAATCTTCTTCTAGACCAAAACACAGGTGCTAAGAAGAATAGTAAGGTTTAAAATGTTTTACACAGAATAGCTAAATTAAAGTCTTGACAATCAGGCTGTTGTTACTGTTCCAGGGAACCTCTTGACACAGATGAAGATAGATTAACAAGGTTGGGGCTTATTTTTGTTGCTGATTAATGCTGATCGAGGGATGAAGATGTTGGAGGCTTGAGGTGGCTGACCTGAGAAGATACACTCAGAAGAACGGTCATAGAGGTTGGTAATCCAGATAAGATTTGCAGCTCGGTGTAGCTAAGGCTCACGGTTTAAATTTCTTCCCGGAAGAGATTTGAGGTGGGAGTCATGTAAGTCATCTGGAAACATGAAAGTATCATTGCAGCATGGACCATAACTCAGAATAGGCTAAATTACCACAACAATGGCCTACCACGCAGCTGCTATTACATAGCCAGCATGAGCTTGATGAACTTGATTGCTGTCAGGTGCTCCAGCTGCAATCAGAGCTGGCCCGCCCTCACAGACTGGACTAGCAGGACGGAGTGAATGACGAATGGAGAACAGCACAAAACACCAAACACCCCTGATTCCCGACAGGTAAACTACACAAATCATGTATCCTACAGTCCTGGCAAGCAGATGGAATATCATCAGCCTAAATAATTTTTACTGCAGCAAGAAGGTTCTGGTTCGATCTCGGTCTGGGCTTTGCATCTTCCCCGTTTGAAGGGGTGGGGGGTACAAAAATGCAATGGGTGTCAAAGTCTACACACCCCTAATAAAATGATGAATATTCAAGATAAATGATTTTTTCCACATTTACGTGGTAATAATTATGTAAAGTTAAACTATAAAACAAACAAATCTGTTTGAGGAAAGAAAAAAAACAAAATGAAGAATATGCAATAACATGGTTAGATAAGGGTCCACAGAACCGTCTGGGCTCTTTTTTCATTAATGCTATTATCAACTTCAGTAGTTGACATACATAACAAATACAAGCTTTCAGTTTTTCCCCTTTTTGTTTTAAAATGATTGTGGCAGAAGTAAATACCACAGATTGCTCCTTTATAATGCATATCGAAACGTGAAGGAAAGAAAATATAACAAAAAGAAAATTCCTTCCAAAAAACAGAACTTGGCCAATTTCTACCGAGTTTGCATAAAAACAGGCAAGCGTATGTAGAAACAAAGATGAAAAAGCACAAAAAATGTGAAGGAACCAGAAGAGACAAATACCTTGATGAAACAACTTTTGGTTCAATTTGATCTTTCAGTCTTCTTTGGTTTAAGTCAATCAGCCTCCCACATCTTGTCTTCATTTGTCCTTCCTAGCCTGCAAACGTTCTCCAAAGCTATCCGACTGAGGGGACATCTATTATTCACAGCTCTCTTTGGTCCCCACAGGTTTTCTGTTAGATTTAGTTCTGAACTCTGGCAAGGCTTTTCCAAGACCTTGATTTTCCTCTCATGAAGATATTATTGTGTTTATGTGGATGCATAGACTCACAATGATGCTGAAAAAGTACTTGGAGGTTTTAGGACAAAACCGACAGTTGTTTGGATCTATTCATAACTTCATTCACGTTTTCAAAAAACATCTGAAGGTAAGTAGCCCCAGAGCATGATGCTGCCACCACCATCTTCCATTGAAGGTTTATTGCTATGTTGTTGATGCACAGTGTTCAAATGTATGTTTTCATCAAACCATAACACATTCATCTAGGGAGGATTTGGGTTAGTTTCCTAGTAGGAAACTAAGGCTTTAACTACAGGATGCCGATGAGCATACATCAGGAAAATCCTACAAGACCAGCTGAATTTTATTTTAGCTTAATAAGATTCACAAGAATTAGGTTAGGTATAAATTCAAGATTACCAAATGCTAAAACGGACTCAAAAAGGTGCTTTGACAAAGCGTTAGCCTAAGGGTGTGCATATTAATGCAGCCACTTCACTGCAGTTTTACTTTTTATATGTTTTTTATATTTTTTCCTCTAATAAATTTGTTTGTTTTGCACTTGAATTAAACAGGATAAATGTCACAATAAAGTTGGAAAAAGCTTTGAAATGATTTATTACAGTGTCATTTTTGACATCACAAACATCTTGGATTTTAACGGGGGTGTACACACCTTGAGGTCCCAAAAACAGCCACATTCAGCCCACCCCCTCTGCTGAACACAGCCCTTAATATGGATGTTTGTTGGACATTAATTTCCTCTATATATATAAAAAATGAATTCTCTGTAATATTGTGTCACTAGCCTTCTTTTACTGACATCTTCTGTCTGTTTTCCTGTAAAGTTAGACAGACTCTACCTCTGATTAATCCTGAGTTTTTATTTTTAACCCATGAGAAGGCCGCACAGAGAAACCTTCACACAAACAAACTCTCAAAGCGGCCGTGTGTGCCATGTTATGTGGACCTTGTGACGGTTGATGTTGTTATTGGAGACACATTCCAGTACGGTTTAATGGGGGATCATAGGTGAGTGTGTGTCTGTGCAAAAACAAACAAAAAAACTCCCACACCTCAGACCATCCATCAGTAGTTTATACTCTTATTTATCTGTGACCTTACACCGTCTGCAACAAGGCAGGGCAAGCTTATTCGTAAAGCACATTTCAGCAAAAAGACAATTCAAAGAACTTTACATGACGAAGACCTTAAGGAAAAAAAAACACGTAGTACATTGCAGTGGCATACTAAAGAAACGTTAAGAAAAGTAAGACTACCGATTAAAATGAATGATGCTTCAGTTAGTAGTTTAATTGGAACAGTCAAAGGCAAATTGGTTTTTAACCTTTATTGAAAAGAACTCAGGGATTCAGCAGTTTTGCAGTTTTCTGGAAGTTTGTTCCAAATTAGTGGAGCATAAGAACTGAATGCTGCTTCTCCATGTTTGGTTCTGATTCTATGGATGCAGAGCAGAGTTGAACCAGAAGACCTGATTGATCTGGAAGGTTGATACAAAGACAACAGATCTTTAATGTATTTTGGTCCTAAGCCATTCAGTGAATTATAAATGAACATAATTATTATTATATTACAGTATATTATATTATATTACTAAAGTCTATTCTCTGAGATACAGGGAGCGAGTGTAAGGACTTCAGAACACAACCACAGACCGGTTCCCCCTCCTCCTCTTGGGTCACCGGCTAAAGCTGTGTGTGTTACGGTCGAGTGGAGCCTGCAGCCTCGCTGTCTCTATGAACAGAGATTGAAGACATGGACAGGCAATGCAGAATGGAGACTCACATGGCGAGTCAGAGAAGGGTCAGATTGCAAGTATTTCTGTCGATTCCTGTCAACAAAACAGAGAAATCTAAAAAAAAAAAAAAGAGTCAGAGGGGGAGGATTCTTGGCCTGAGGCCATGGTCTATATGTCACTTTTAGCCTCATTTTAAAAACAACAACAAATGCTTTTTTGTCTACATTTACAGTAAAAAACACCCGGGTATCATAATCTGCAGTCGGTGGTGAAGCCGACCACCTGGTCTCCATAGAAACACCGGTTTTAAGCACAGAGGTATTGCAATCCTCCCAGTTAATTGTGCAGTGTAACTGCAATTGACTCCTTAAGTGAACAGCATATTTCAATTTACTGGCTTATTAAAAAACCTCTCGCTTAATCTCGCTTAAAGAAAACCTGTTAGATGGTTATTCAGTAATAACTATGTCCCCATATGCTACAGCTTCACCCAAATTATTCATAGCATAGATACGCAGAAACTACTCATTACAGTTCATGCCCTGTAAAAAGAAGATGTTTGCTGCTGATTTGGAGGAAAGCTGTCTTCATGCTCCTCCAGTTACGCTTTAGCAGTGGCTCACTTGAAATCTAATTACGAAAGAACTGTTAAGATACGAAAGTGTGACAAAGGTGGGTGTTGTTTCTCCCCCAACTTTGCCCTGTATAAGGTATTGTTTCTGCAACTATATTTAGTATTACACACCTGACTACGACCTTTACCCACAACCAATCATGTTGATGACATAAAATGGCACAAAAAGGAGTCAACAATACATCTGACCAGGCCATTGTTTCACACTGGACATTTCAGTTAAGAGATTATTGATTACAATTTAATAACGTTGAATATAATTAAATCCAAAATGTGGGGATAAAGTAAAAAAACATGCCTACGTATATTTAAGGGGAAAGTTCTGGACATTAGTTATATATAAACATCATTTGCATTAAAGTCAGCTTAAGTTTATACTTTTCATGTTGCATTTAAAGTTTTCCTTTTAAGGTTTAAAGGATGAGGGGCTGCATGGTGGTACAGTTGGTAGCACTGTTGTTTTGAAGCAAGAAGGTCCTAGGTTCGACTCCCGGCCAAGGGTCTTTCTGCATGGAGTTTGCATGTTCTCCCTGTGCATGCGTGGTACTCCGGCTTCCTCCCACATTTCAAAAACATGACTGCTAGGTTAAATGGTCTCTCTCAAATGTCATTAGGTGGGAATGGATGTGTGCATGGTTGTTTGTTCTGTGTGTCTCTGTGTTGCCATGCAATGGTCTTCCGACCTGTCCAGGGTGTACTCCTCCTCTCACCCGTTGACTGCTGGAGATAGGCACCAGCTCCCCAGTGACCTTGTATGGAAGAAGCGGGTATAGAAAATGGATGTATGGATGGTTTAAAGGACAACAACAGTAACTTTGTGCACATAAAAGCTGGGTGCACAAGGTTATATAGATTGTGGATTGTCTCAACGTTACATATTATGGCCAAAATTATAGAGGGACAAACTTATACATACATACCCACTAATGTTTGGATAAACATCCCATAGCAGGATCAAGAGATGCTTTTTATAGCCATCAAGAGACTTCTAGCATAATTCTGGCTGTCATGTTTTGTTGTTTTGCAGATGGACCAAAGCGCAGAGAGCAACGTGGAAGCAGCATGATGTGATAAATGGATTTTAATAATAATAAAGACAAAACTCACAATGGAGCACAAGAAGAACAGGACATGGAAACGGACAACAATGGGAGGATCCAGTGGGGACCAATGACAGCAGGTGAGCTAAAATACTAGGGGATGCAGGTGTGAGTAATCAGGTGGATATGTGGAACAGCTGAGGCAGAAGGCAGGCAGAGCAGCTGAGGGAGGGAGACTAATTAATGCAAGAATAGGTAACATATCAACAGGGGAATAATGAAAACTAACACAAATGAGAACTGTTTCAATGAGAACACTGGCTGGATATTTATCTGCTCTTATCGAAAATAGTGAGGTTTCTTTGAATCAATTTTTTTTTCATCACACAGATCTTAATAAAACATAGTTTGCAATTTTTTTGTAGGGCCTGATTTTACGTTTTAACCATCTGGGCCAAACAGTCCACCTCAGATAAAATGAAATATTTTTGGACTTTTGCGGCATGATGTCAGATGACAGAAAATGTTGTGTCTTTTTCTACAGTCTTTGTACAATTAAGCCCAAAATTATTCATACCCCTGGCCGATATAGTTTGGTTTATGATGAGTTCAGAGTCTTTGAACTCATCATGCAAAAATCTTCAGCTCCCTCCAGAAGGTCCTTTGTCAGATCCTGGACCCTAAAATGTTACAATTACCTTTAGTCACAATAAAAAAACTTGGTACAATTAAAGATTACTTTAAACCTAAATCTGCTAGGGATGTGAATAATTCAGGACTTAACCAAAGAAATCTATACTTTAACTGTACATCGGGTGCCGAAAAAGGAGTTTTCCCAGGGACATTTAACCAAAATTAGTACATTAATGCAGTTTTGCCTTGAAATGTTTAATTGGAAACCAAATATTTGTTTATAGAATCATCTATGTATCTATTTATTTATCTATCTATCTAAGCATGTTTTATTGCGAGCTATATTGGGAAGGCTGCACTTCATGTGATTCAGAGAATCACAAAAAACGACCCGTCCGTCAGTCTACTGAAGCCCCCGCCCCGCCGGTCTATTGACGGGAACTCCCCCCCCAAGTTCCCCCGTTCTCCTCTCACTGCTCATTCTCTCCATGAGCTGTCACACACACACACACACACACACATATACAGACGCGTACACACACGGAGCCCCTCCGTGTTGAAGCAAAGCTCCGCTCCGTCTAGTCTCTCCTCGGCTGCCGACCCGCAGCTGGTTTGATTCTGCGGGCTGCGCGGAGCCTCGTCGTGACAAGAGTTTTGGGGAATCGCCTGAAGGAGTGAGCCGAGGAGAAAGAAGGTAAGACGATGGTGTCAGAGTGAGTGGCTCCTCTGCTCTCTGTTTTTGGAAACTTAAAGCCTTTCTCACTGTGTCGTGCGCCGTAGCAACGTCATTTAGGGTTTATGTGTTACATTTCCAGGTTAAATTGGTGTATTTTTTATATGTTTCGGTCTGCGCGTGCTAAGCGGTACGTGCAAATACCGCGCGCGAGCGCTCGTGCCCTCTCTCATTAGGGGGGAACCTCCAATTGTGTGAAAGGAAGTTGGGACATCTAACGCAAATACTCTTATAGAGGGGCACCCCAAGGGCTCTAACAACAAGCGGTCTAGCTCTAGGCAATGTGCTCGAACCTTCAGAGGAAAAGTAACTTGATTTTGTAAACGCAGATCAGCTTAACTCCCTCTTTTGAGTGCAGTTTTATAATTTCTTTGAGTAGATGTCCAGAGAACCTGTTGTCTGCAGTGAGCACGTGACAGTTGCCGGTGTAAATGTGGTTTAAGGTTTGAAGGAAATCTTCTGTCATGCTATTTCCTGCAGTTTAAGGTCCTTTTCATAAATTGCCACAGAAGGTGCTGGTGTGATCTGGAGTTTCTCCAGCTATGGGGGTTACCCCTACTGGACTTTTCCCTGCACACTGCTGATCAGCTGGCTGACATAAGGCTTCTACAGTTTTACATTAAAATAGGCTTAGGCTTGTATGATATTATAATTGCATGATTACTGTGAGGAAAAATATCACATTTTCAAGGTATTATGGTACTTTCTCTTTGTGGTCGGATATTTCCAAGATTGCTCCATGAAGTCGGAGTTCAGAATGGAAAAGTTAACTGTGCCATTTAACAAATGTGGTGAAGGTGGACGAAATAAACTAATGGTTAGCATGTCTGACAGCTTGTAACTCTTTAATTTATTTGGACACATACTGTTGTAAAATATATATTTATGAACATGTTCTCTTTGTGTTCTAAATGATAGAATGAAGAGAAGTACATGTCTATTAGCTTGCATTGCTTACGGCAGTTTCACACCAGATCAGCTACCAAATCCTGCTGTTTCCAGCGTTTAAAATGCTCCCCTCTCAGGTGTGACGTCATTCCCAGCTGCAAGCCCCAACCTCGGAGGCAACTCGAATGCAGCATTTACCAAAATGTTAAGCAAAAATGTATATTATTGAATTGATTTTATTCAAATCAGAAATGCATTCCTGCTGCTACTAAAATGTTATTACATATTAAATATTACGGGTGTAATAATGTTCTAACATGTGTTTAATGGAATTTAGATTGTGAATGAAACACATCAGGATGAATCTAAAATCAGATGCTTAATAGACAGGCCACATGTAGTTAGACATCTGTACTTAAAACAGAATCACCCGAATAAGAGGAATGGGTGGCGCTGCTTTTGTTTTTTTACGCCATGACCATGTTTTTCGCAGAAAAAAACAGTTCCCAAAAAGATCTATTTGTCTTTCAGGTAAGTGAGTTAAAAGTGCAGAAAGTTCAGCTAGCTGACCGGCAGTGCACAACAACACAAAGGGGAGGGACACAAGGGCATTATTCTAGGTTTCACACCGCTGGAAAAAAACTTCAGCCACACCATCACCTTTTCTGGCATCTCATTAAAAGGAATTTAAAGTTACCTTCAGGGCATTAGAAATGGTAAGATGGACGATATTACTAAAAACAGTAATGAGCGCATGTTCACAAGAAAGCCTTATTGGGCTGGTTGGAAAAATTTCCATTTAGACAAAACCAGGAAAGTGAGAGTGTAGAAACTGAAGCATTATTATTAATTAAGCGCTTTGTTAAGACAAACAGCTGGCAAACTATGAACAACAAATTTATCCAGCAGCTGACTGCAGGCTTGCTATCAGAGCAGATAGTCTGACTAAATAACCAGAAATATAAAGTTTTCATACCTGTGTTATGCTGTAAAGAGAAGAATAGCAAAAAAAGAATAATAATATACACAATAAGCACTTGAAATCTACTACTAAATTCAGCGGATGTTTATTGTGTATTTGTTCAATGTATTTCTAATCATTTTATCAAAATGACTAAACAGTAATGCACCAATCAATTGGCCAGAGATCTGAATCGGCCATATTTTCCTCAGTCGGCTCTAAGCGGTGATCCGCGGGGTCAAAAACTAAATATTCTGTTTCATACCTTTTCAAACAACTTACGATTTTTTTTGTGTTTTTTTCCTATTGGATTCAAAACTACTACCTCTTATAAAGAACCAGCAGCACGTTTTTATTTTTTCTCTCATGTGAAAAACCCCCCAGAATTGGTCAGAATCCGAATCGGCAGGTCAGCTCTCAAATAAAACTGGAAATCGGCATCGGCCAGGAAAAGCTTGATCGTTGCATCTCTGCTAAATACAAATAAATAAATGTTACGTTTAATGTAAAATAACATTATTACTCCTGTTATAATCAGCATATTTTGTTTTCTTTGTAGCATTAGGGATAGTGTGTGCTTTTCTGTTTTAAATAAAATTAAACAGGTCGTGTTATATATTTTTGTTTAAAATGTTTTCTAATTATTATGAAAATGTGGAATTTTACTTAAGGTCATGCCATGACAATCTCATCCATGCCAAAATAAAGTAGGCATTGGTTGGTTAGGTTTTCCTGGAGAGGTCCCATAGGGTTTCAGATATTTACATGATTTATCATATGTTAATTTAGTGTTCAGTTTGTTTATTTAGAAGCCAAAGTATATTTCAAAAGCTCTGTAGTCCCATTGATAAATGAATATTTAAAGTCTTCAGGCGTCTTTGAACAGAAAGAACAACAAAAAAAAAAAAAGCTTTACCGGAAACAAATCCATGAAATATTCAGAAACAATACAAAATCAGAACATTTTCAACTATGTGTTAAATAATGCTGTGCATGCAGTGCTGTAATGCCATGTACTTGGTAGCCAAGTGTCCTTCAGTCCTCCTATAAGGTGAGCATCTGTGTATGTGCACACACACACATATACACATGTGTAAGCGCGCCTGCTGTGTGGTGATACCCTGTCAGGTCCTGGGAGGTGGGGGTCAGTCACAGGGTCTCCCCTTTGGAATTCTCCTAGAATAGATGTGGCACACACACACACACACACACACACACACACAGATCTACCAGGCTCACCACGTCACCTCATCTCAT